GTATATATATATATATATATATATATATATATATATATATATATATATTGTTTTGTGGGTGGAGAGAGTAACCAGGGGTAAATGTGTGCTGGCAGAGTAGTGTAGTTAGTATTGAGATTTAAGAGCAGTGGTATTAATAAATAGTGTATTTTATATTGGATTCAAGATTGGACTTCACCCATCACCTTTATTTCCATTGGTCGTTCAATTTCTAATTTCCCACCAAAAGATTTTTCCCTCAAAATCTATGCGGACCGATAGGTAAGCGCTCATTGTGCTGTAATTTGTTGTGTACGAACTCGTATAGGTGTAGGCGGATCGATTTAGGCTAAGCCAAAATTTGTCCAGGCCGGACCAATATTATCCAAGGAGGACTGATTTTGGCCGGCCAAAATCAGTACCCCGGACAAATTGTAGCCCGGGCTAATTTTGGCGTGACAGGCCTATCAACCTTAAACTTATCAAATCTTATGATAGGCATTTTTCGTTTTGACTACGCGGCCAGTCTACTACAAACTAATAGAGCGTAACAGATATCTGCGCATGTTCACAAACCTTACTGGCTAAATCGGCGTTGTGACAGCTTCCGCGACTACCCCAATTTCTGAATTTGGCATAGTGGCGACTACCCTAATATTGACCAATCAGATCACCGGATTGTTTGGCAAACTGCTGGTAACTTTTTTGTTGGGGGTTGCAATTTCATCGCATCCGCGATCGAGCATTTTTCGTTCAATAATGAATTAATTATTAAAACAAGTGAGTAATTAAATGTTTTATAAAGGCCTATACATACAATAAATGAGGAATTTCGGAATAGTCACAACATATAATTAGGTAAATCAGTGGATAGTGAAAAAAGGACCTTTTAGCCTTAGGCCTAGGCTAGCCTAGCCTGCCTTGTCAATGTCAGGGAGGGTGGATTTCGGGTAGGAGAAAACACATTATCTGGTGCCGCTAGCTGGGCATCTGCGCCCATGGTGTCGTGTATCAAGCCTTGCTATATAAATACCTCTGTTTTAAATTGTTATGTACATTTATTTTGTACATCATCGTTGCATTTGGCAAATTGCCAAAACAGGCCTGACACCCCTCTTCTCCCGGTTCCCGACTCTCTTGACACCTAAGCTAGGCCTGGCCTGTAGGCATAGGCCTAGATACTAGCCAACAGCGAAACATCACTCAGTGTTTTCTGGAAACTTTTTATTTTGTATTTGACCAGTGTTTTTATTCACATTTCTTTTTTCAAATATAAAACAAGGGAACATTGTTCCCTGGTAATAAAACTATGGTCGACAAACTCCTCTCCGTAGGCCTACGTACGTGTGGTGCGTCGTCGTAGTCGCCTTAGAAAAACAACTCTTGGTGTAGTACGCGAACAGTGTCTTGGCGTTGCCGTCACGGTCCATTAGTTCGTAGTAGACTGGCCGCGTAGTCAAAACGAAAAATGCCTAATGATAATAATAGTGCTACACAATCAGCCTGAAATTTACTTGACCTGTATATCTTTCTACATGTTACTTATAAATTAATCTGAATAAAATAAAATAAAATATACCTATTTTATTTTGTCATTTCATGACATACCATTAAAGGCAAATCAATGACATCATGAAATCATATTTATCAAACAATATATTTAATAGTTACGGTAGAATCGGTTGGCGCATCGGTTGTGGCTTCGACGTAGGCCTACTCCAAACCTTGAGGTCAGGAGTTCGGAACTCTCGTTGTGCAAGTCACTTGTCCTTGGGCAAGGCACTTTATCTACGTTGTCTCTCTCTACCCAGGAGTATAAGTACCATAGGCGTAGATCCCGGGGGATGGGGGATATATCCCCCCCCCCAATATTTGACAAGGGGGGATGGTCTAGAGTATCATCCCCCCATAATATGTATGGGATAAAATGGAGCTTTACACACTTCAAAAGACTGTCACAAAAATAATTTGCACTGTCTTATGCGCTTACAAAGATGAAAATTAGCATAATGTATTAATGTTGATAACAAAATTATTTTATCTGGTACCAATCTAAGCTCTTCTTTCCTTAGATGTTAAATGTGCTTGCAAAGAGAGCCACATTTCAGACTGAAGGGTGTGTACGATATCAGTTATGTTATGTCAATTCCAAGGTTATATCGGTTGATGAGGAATTTATCGATTAGGCCTATAATAGTAAATTGCTTCAATTTATTTTGCAAAAACAAGGTTTCCAGCTTCAGAGGAGGTCACGTCCCCTGTCCGCACAAGAGCACACATTGGCGCTAACACCAGGCCCGTAACAGGGGTCTTGGGTCAGAGTGGGTATTTATTAATTGTATTTTTTATTTCAACCATCTTTAATTCTAATTTCGTCGGAATTAATGAAAACTCCCTAAAATGTGCAATTTATAGAGGAAATTGGCCTACTGTAACAAGAAATGCGCGCAAAGAATTTGAGAATTTTAGGCACTTTCAGAGGATGCATTTGTCTTATCTTATTTATAATATAGGCCACACACGTGTGTTTGAAACTAAATATAAGCATTTTCATCAAGGTTTTATTTATTACAAACATATTCTTTCAACATCCTTACACATTGAGGCCCTTCTTTTAGGTTAAAATG